AGAAAAAAAAATCTCTTCATATTATAATGATGAAATTCAATAGACTAAACTTCCTATTTTAGTCATTGAAATAGAGAAAACAAAATCTGATCCATGAATATTGTGAATAACATTCTCTATATGGAGATTATTGTCGCCAACAATAATAATCGATAATAATCGAATGGGCGGAATCACGGAACTAAAATTTTGATTCTCGACATTCTCGATGATAATAATCAGAATTTGAACAAGGAAAAAGGCAAAAACGAAATTTGAATAAGTTTTTAACTCGGAACAAAAAAGTTAATTCCAGATTCATGGCTCCCATCATCATCATTGTTTTCAGGTTTTCTTGTTTTGTTGTTTGTCCCGGGAATTCATTCGTTTTTTTCAGGCTAAAGAATTTCTTTTCATTTCTTTTCATAATAATGATGACATCAAACGAAAACAAACAACCAAACAATGATAATAAATGTCATTGTTTGTCAGGCCTTTTTTTCATTTTTTTACCAAACAATCCAAAGAAAGAAAAGAAAGAATTTTGAATTTTTTCGTTACTCCCTGATTTGAATATTATGTAAATTTTATGGGACGACGAAAGAAGAATTTTTCCTTTCCTACATATACATTGTATATGAATTTTTCAAGAATTTCAAGAATTTTTTTTTGTTTCGTTTGTTTTCGAAAAAATGTTTTCCAAAATCAATTCTGTATTTCGGAAGAAAAAAATACCGGTCATTTTTTTCATTATTTTTTATACATCCCTTGTGTAACAAAACAAAACTATCAACACATCTCTCTCTCACTTTGGATATGGATGAGAAAATCAATGTTTCGTGACTTTCTGATTCTATCTATTTATCTATCTTTGATGAAATTGAAATCAATGTTTCCCTTGTGATTATCATTATCATCATTATCATTTGCCAGAATGATAATCGTTTTTTTTGGCAAGCTGAGTCGAAATAGGTAGGCAGCCGCTATCATCAATTAGAAACATTGTCGAAAAAGTGGAAAATTCGGAAAAGAACAGAAAATTCTTTTTCCGAATGAAAATTTATGATCCATTCCATTCCATTCATATTCATTCATTTTTATGGCATTTTAATTGAGCGTGATAATCCAATGGACAAAAAACAAAACATAAAACAAAACAAACAACAATAAAAATGGAAGTAAAGAATTCCTGGTTTTTTTAATGATATTTCTACCTAAAATGAATCAGGTGAATATGATAGATGATAATGATGATGACACTATTCATAAATATAGTCATCATCAAGGTAATTTTTTCAGGTAATTTTTTTTTTGCAGGTTATATAACCACTCCCTCAATAAATAAAATTAGTTCATTCTGTTTTTTTTTGTTGATTGCTACATTTGTATCATAGATATTCAGATGATAACCCTTAATTTCCTAAATGATTATTATTGAATAATAAAGTTGAAAACATACCTTTTATTTCGGGGGGTTAAAAGCTTGTTGTTGTTGAAAAAACAAAACAGAAAAACTTCACTTTATGGATAACATTTGAAAGTTTTCGAAAAATTTCTTCTCAAAAAAGCCGGCTCATTTTTCGAGGTTTTGCTTTGCTTGTTGTTTGCTTAAAACCTGAAAATTATCACCAGAATCATCATCGTGATCAAAAGAAAACAAACAACAACAAAACAAAGAAAATGAGTACAGAATTTACACAAAGAGAATCGTTGTTTATTGCTTAGATGAAATTCTTTGACTGAATTTCTTTTTTTGCTGATGATGATGATGGAGATACACACACACAGCTGAGACATATGAACATTTTCGACCAGAAATAAGATTCGATTTGCGTCAGCGTAGTACCCGAAACCCGAAATAAAAATTTTTTTTTCTGGAACGGTGGGATATCAACCAACTGCTACTACCATTTTGGGTCTAAATAGTGGTGGTGGTGGCAGTTGACTGACTGTATGAAAGCCAAAGCAAAAGTCGTTGATCGTGAATCGCACCACTTTGGTTTTTTTTTTGGTTGGAAAGTTTCTTTGGGTTTTTTTTCCTTTTTGATAGATGAAGAATCGGGTTTAGCCCGTTGTTCGGGTATTATTATTATATAAGGTTTCAGTTCGCTCTCTTGAGATTTTTTTTTTGTTTTGTTTTCCCGAAACGATTCGCCAAGAGTTCAGCGACTTCTTACCCGCGATATTGCTCGTTTATATAACACAAGGGAAAAAAGCGCATGATCAAAACGAATATTTTGGAAAAAAAACCTTTTCAATATCCGTTCCATTTGGTTCGAAATAGTCCGATTGCTAAAACAAGAAAAAAAAGTTGACTATTTCAACCCTATGATGTCCCAGATTGATTGTGTCAATTTTTTTTTTGTTTTTGGATTTCATCAAGGTTATAACATCCAGATTAATTTGCATTTGGGATTACATAAAACATGAAAATTTTCATATTTTCATTCAAGTTTTTGCAACCTAAAAAAGAAAAAAAAAATGGAATCAACCAAAACCAAACTTTGAATGAATGTAGGCCGTGTGTGTTTGTATGTTATACATCGTGTCATATGTCATGCTGCTGCCTGGGTTGGTTTGGTTGTCTTCAATGATGATGAATGACTTTTTTTTTCTCTCCGGTTTTTTCATTTCATTTCGTGGCTATTTTCACATTTTGCCCGAAATTCTTTCATTTTCGTTTTCGGGAAAATGTAATGTAATGGATGGAATGAAACCAAAACAAGCACCCTGATCGTGTCATCAGTGTTATTTATACAAGACAGGCAAATTTCCTGGTCCCCCTTTTCAATTCTCAATCCACCTTGCAATTTTATTTATTTATTTGGTTTAGTCCAACAAAAAAAAACATTCGAAACTATTTCTACTTGAAAAGTAATGGAAAGTAAAGTAAGGTTGTTTTTCTCATTACCACATCACAAGTTGTCACAAAAAAATGTTTTTTTTTGAAATTAAAATAAAAACATTTGCATAAACCAAACATACATTCAGTGTATTCAGTGTTAAATGAAGATGCGAAAAATGTGGTTTTTTTGTTGTTATTTTTTTTCTGGTTAAATAATTAATTTCAAAACACCAAAGTGATGTTTATAATGTGATGATGAAAAATTTATTAACAAAACATTTGAAACGATGAATAATTTGAATTTTTAATTTTAAAATTTTAAAAATTTGAAAAAAAACTTCCCGTAAATATAGAGTTTCCCACTTTCTTGCAATTCTTTTAAGCAATTTTCTCGAAAATCTTGATAACTTTTCTTGCCAACAAAGGAATATTTATTATTCTGAAAAGATCAAGTATCAAGATAAGACAATGAAATGAAATGAATTTTCTTTCTTTTTCTGGAAACGACGACAATAACCATTTCCATTTTCGACGAAGAAGATGTTGATGAAACAGAAAAAAAAGTGATAATAAATTTTCATTAACACCATTAGTGCCACCATTACACACACCGATAAATTGTATTGCACTATATCTACCTAACCGTGAATGAGATAGCCATTTTGTGATGTAATAAAATGAAAACACGCCAAACACACATACAGTGTGTCTATTTTATCAACATTTTTTTTTGGTTCCTGGAACATCATCCACATCATATTGACTTTTGCCCGATATCCACCACTGATGTGATGAATCTAAATTGAATTAAATGGATCAACAAACAAACAAACAAACAAATACGGGGTGAAAGACATGACCAAAAAGATCATCAACGAAATAAGATAAGATAACCTAATGGTGTGTGTGGGTGGAAATAGCAACAAAAAGAAAACTTTTTGACGCCCGTTGCTATAGTTGGTCGTCATTAATTATTTATTTATTGAATTTTCATTTTGGCGAAAAAGGAAAGGAAAAAGTGTTTTTTCGTTTCGTTATTTAATGATGATGTTTTCGAGTTTGGTTTCGAGGATTTTCGCATTCTGTTTTACATTCACATTATGCACAATTTTTCGAGGAAATTTTCTTGGAAAAAAATTTTCCGGGAATAATTCTCGGTCCGAAAAAATACCAAAGTTAAAGTTCAAATCAATCAAAAAAAAAAACATTTTCCATTTTTAAATGTAATAAATTCATATTAAAGTTGTTGTTGTTGACAGATCTTTTCCGAAATCAGATAAATCCACGAAGAGAAGCAAATAAATCTTTTTTTTTCACTGTCTTTTCGATTGGATTTTTCCAATTTTAGGATTCACCAGCAATAACGACAACAACGACCAGCCAAAAAAGAAGCTAAACAAACAGTTTTTTCTGCTGTTGTTGTTGGATCGAATCTCTAATCGAGAATCGAATAAATTGAATGAGAAAATAAAACAAAACAAAACAGAACAGAAAAAGCAATATAATAAATGAACAAAGTATGCAGAGCAGCAGGGAGAATTTCAAATGAAAATTACAGGTTTCACACTTTTTTTTTTATTTTGGACGTTTTTCTAGAATTGGAATTGTCCGCATTGTGAATATATAGATAGCTGGATTTAGAGATGCACAAGATACAAAAAGTAAAGAAGAAGAGAAAATGAATGTAAAGCAAACAAACAAAAAAACACAAATCACATCACCTAAAATGTAATGTAATTTCTTTTTTCGTTGTTCGTTGTTCGTTTGTTGGTTATAATAAAAATCAAATCAAAATCCCTAATGAATCGAATGATTTATTTCTTTTTTTTTCGTTGTTCGCTGGTTTCGTCTTTTTTTTGCGGGTGATTTGCCATATGTTTTTTTTTTGGTGGCTGGAAAAACCTGAAACAAGCAAAAAAGAAAAACCGAATAAAAAAAACATTCATGATAATCGATTTGATTACTACCTGAGTTTCAAATTTACAAATTAATTTGATTTCAAATTTTCTCGAAAAACAAAATAAAAAACAGAAAAAATTCGAACGGAAGGAAAATTAAGAATGTTTATGGTTGATGAAATCGAATATTTGGAAAACAATCGATTGTCCTGGTTAGAAATAATCGATTGTTTCGATTCGATTCGAATGTTTTTTTTTTGTAAACCGGTTTTGGCCAGCGATGACCACAGCGAGCAACTTGACCAAAATATTTTCAACCCAAAAATATTACCCATGTGTTTTTTTGGAGAAAAAACCAAAAAAATGGTTAAACAACAACAACAACAATTATTATGTTTAGATCGTTTGATACAAGATTTACAACAATTAAATAATGATCATCAAACAGCTGATGTTATTTTTATTGTTGATAATAATCATCATCATCAACATTCGAATGAATCGAATAATAATGAACTGACAAAACTCAACGATAATAATGATGGTAAAAATGATGATGATAATGATAATCAAAATACTGAAACATTATATGCACATCGTTTAATTTTACGTGCAAGGTATGTTTTTTTCTTGCGAAAACCAAATGATAAATCTTTTTTGTTGTTGTTGTTTTGTTTGTTGGTGTTACACATTGTGCAATTTCATGTCGAGTTTAATTTTGGTCAAATTGTAATTCTTTTTCTTCTTTTGTTTTTCTTTTGTTTTTGTTTGTATATTGAAATTGGCTCAAAATCATAAATCATTTTGTTTTTTTTTGTATTCTCGATTCTCAAATGAATCATAATAATGGTACCCGATTTTTATCTATTTCTATTCATTCTTACTTCAATCATATTACCATTAATCATTTACATTTGAAACATTTATATTCGTGTTTATTTTGCAGGTATTCAAATGTATGCCAGATTTTCTGTTTTGTTTTAATATCTAGGCAAATTTACCCAAAAAACGATTCCGAATTTGAAGAAAAATTATATTCTCTGTGTATGTTTCACGCAATCCAAATGATTGATCGATTGATTGACTGGCTATAACAATAATAATTTGCCAATATTCATCGATGAATGCTAATTATTGATTGAGAAAAAAAACAGAAAAAAGTATTGAAATTGGAGAATGATGATTCATAATCATTTTCATTGAATTTCATTATGATTCTTGAATTTTCATTGTCCGCATCATCAAAACGTAATCTGATCTTTGGACAATGTTTTTTGAATGAGTTTTTTATGAGTTTGGTGCATCTTTTTTTCGTTCAATTGAAAATCACTGATTTTGTTTCATTGATTTATTACCCAAAGTGAAAATATAGAGACAGACAAAATGTTGAATGTAAATTACATTATTCTTCGATATTTATGACCATAATTAATTATATTTCATTGATAATGATGATGGTGATCAGATCATATCTGAATCTGAATCTGAACAATGTACAAGATAATAATGTGGTTGGAAAAGTTTCAAATTAATCATTTTTTTCATATATTTGAAAGCAGAAGAAATGAGATTTGATGCAAAATGCAAACAAAAAAAAAGATGAACGAATTTTGTTGAGTTAGAGAGATGGGCGACTATATCGATAAGATCGATAGCGTCTGAGTGTATATAAACGGAAAATCCTGAATTCGAAATGTAAATATTTTCAATTCGTTTTTTTGTTTGGAGAAAAACAAAACAAAAAAGTTTATGGACAAAGCTTAGCATATTTACACATATCATCGCCCAGAATGAAACAAAATGGAACGTGACTTATTTTAGGATAGCAAAAAAAAAGCAAATAAAAGCATTGGTCTCACATCTTTGTAGCATCCGGTTATCTTTTCGATTTTCTTGTCCGGATAGTTTGATTTCAAAAGAAGAACAAGAAAAAAAATATGAAATGAAATGAAATTTGATCTAGAAGAAGCCATTATAATTCGATTCGATTCGATATTAGATTAGATGGATTTTTTGTTTTGTTTTGTTCATTGTCAATTTTTTTGGGCTCATTCTATATCACATTAAGTTGATTGGGTTATTATTATTCAAGAATTCATAAAATTATGAATTTCATGTTGATGATGATGATGATCATTAATTTTCTGTTTTGTTTCTTCACTTATTTCGAAAACCGAGAATAATTTTGAAATTTGATCTTTTGGCAATTTTCATTTGATGAAATTTATTCAAAAAATGGATAATGTTTTTTTGTTGTTTCGATGAAAATTGACATAAAATTCGAATAGAATTTTTTTCATCACAGAATCGATTGTTTCGTTCATCGAATCGAATGTTTTTTTTTCATTAAATGAAACTAATTTCGTTTTTCCACTTTGTTATTATTATTTAGGAGATTATCTTCTTTTAGTGAAAAATTTCACACCGAAAATAATAAAAATAAAATCTGTTTGTAATTAGTTTTCTTTTTCTTCAGAAAAGAAAAAAAGCTCTACTTTTTTCCGTGTCTTAAATAAACTTTTACTTTATTCTGATGTTATTATTTAATGGTAACTTTTTATCAGAAAAAAAGCTGAATGAATAAATTTTTTTTGAATCCTTTTAAGGTTTTTATTGAAAATTTTTTCATTTCATCCATACGGAAAACTATGAAGAAAAGTTTCATTTTGGAATTAAATCAAGCAACGGATTTATCTTTCTGTCTGATTATAACATTGCCGAAAGGAATTAATTAGTTTTATATTCAAATTAGATGTGTTTTTCACTCTCGGTGAGTAAGATTTTCAAACTTTTTTGTTTCCCTTGTCTTGAGCTTAAATCTGGTGAGAAACTGAAAAAGTTTTTCTCTCTCTCTCTGTTTCTTTTTCTACATCTTTAACAATTCTCAATGAATGATTATTACATAATATTCAATATGGATTGATAAGTTCTATGTATGTTTGGTGTTTTGTTGTATTTATTTTTGTAATAAACGAAAAAAAATATCCAGGCCAATTCTTTTCCTTTATAAATACAGGGGGGAATCATTATGCTAATGATTCGATAGTTGAATTATCGATTTGATTGAATCGATACGATCGATACCAAACCAAAAAAAAAAAAAGATGGATGGATGTGTTCGATACCCTTAGGCTTCAGGTTAAAACCCAATGTTTGTTTTGTTTTGTGCAGTGCAAAGTTGAATTGACTGGATTGCGAAACAAAAAACAAACAGAAAATAAATCAGGAAGTAGTAAAACAAAACAAAAACAAAAATATCGATTGATTTTTTTTTTGAAATTTTGATTCTGGTGTTGTTTTTTTTTTTGGTTGACAAAAATGTTTTGAATCAGCAAAAAAAACGTAATAATTAATGGCTTTTTGTTTTGGTTTTTCTGTTTATTTTTTTCAAAAATGACAATGACTAATTGTCACTGATTTTTGTGTGTCTCCCTATCTATCGTTAATTATCACAAAAAAAAGTTTTATAATAATCATTTTTTTTTCTTCTTGTTTTAGATGCCAAAATTTTAAAAATGTATCATCTGCATCGGCTGATAATATTTGTTGTCGAAAATTATCTGGAAGTTCAATAACAAAAGAAGATAATGGTCAAACTTGGTAAGCGAAATGAATTTTTTTGTTTAAATTTTATTATTAATTTCGGTTTGTTTTGTTTCTTTCTTTATTGATTATCAAGGATAATACGATGGCCAAAAATCAAATCCTATGCATTACGTTTGGTTTTGAATTATATTTATACATCAAAAATTGAATTAAATTCTACCAATGATGATAATGATCGTTGTGATGATAAAATATTTGATATTTTAATCATTGCATATGATTTTGACCTAGATGAATTGATTGAAATTTGTGAACAACGTATTTTGGAAATCGTTGATGTTAATAATGTTTGTCGATATCTGGATAGATTCATTGAAATTGGTCAAAAAATTCATACAAAAAATGGACCAAATTGTATCATTGATCAATGTATGGAATTTATTAATGAAAATGCTTATGAATGTGTTAAAACGTATGTGTTTTTTTTTTCCTCTAATCTTTGATGAAATAATAATACTTTTTTTGATGATTTCAGAGAATCATTTCGAAATATTTCCAAAGAAACAATGATTCATCTATTACGATCTGATCATTTTTCATTAGATGAAGCTGATGTATTTCGTTCGTTAATTGAATGGGCAAAATATCAAACTAACGTTTATAAATCGGTTGAACATTGGAATGATGATGATCGTAAACGTATACAGAATCAATTATCTGGTGTTATAAATCATTTAAGAATATTATTGATCGATAGCCAAGTGTTTGCTGAAGAAATTGAACCAACTGGTGTTATACCGATTGAACTTTCATTGGAAAGATATAGATTTGCTGCACTTGCTATCAATAATAATAATAATAATAATGTAGGCCATAAATCTCAACAACAAATTCATGATGCGATCAATAATAAACGTTTACAACCACGATCAACAACAAATATTTATCGATCATTTCCCGAATCAAAATTATTATCAAATATTAATGTTAAATATGAACAAACATTAAACGATTGGTATGGTCATGATAGCAAACAACGTTGGCAATTAATATTTCGTGCTAGTGAACATAAATTTTCGGCCGAAGCATTTCATAATTATTGTGATGGAATTGCACCAACTTTTGTTCTTGTATTGAGTACAAAAGGTTATCTTAGTGGTGGTTTTTCCGATATACCATGGACCAGTGGTAATCGTGGACGTGGTTGTTATGCATCATCAGAAAAATCTTTTCTTTTTCGTTTGAAAATACCATCCGATGAACAATCTTCAATCAAATATGATGTGAAAAAGAAAATCTTTGCCATTGGACATATGGCAAGTAAAGGACCTGTTTTTGGTGCCGGTGCCGATTTGCTTATTGCCGATAGTTGTCATTTAAATGAAGATAGTTATTCCAATCTTCCACATTCATATGATGGTCCATATGCTTCAGTTGATACTTTATTTGGATCATATTATTTTACCGTAATTGATTATGAAGTTTTTACATTATTTAACAATTCGAATTCAAATTAACTTTTTTTTACAAATTATCGATTAAATCGATTATGATGTACATTACTTTTAGCAACAAATAAAAAAATCATGCATTATTTTTATTTTTATTTTGGACACATAATCAATTTTTTTTTATTAATTTTAATTTTATTTACCACTTGTGTAAATCCAATCAATTGAATTGTGATAATTCCATATTTTTTTCAGTAAAATCAAAAATCCCAAAATGAGTAACCGTACCAAAGGAAATGTTAAAGTATGTTATTGGAAATCTTTGTTCCATGTTGTTTTTTGATTTCTTTTTTTTTATAATAGCCGTCAAATAGTGAACGTGCATCTCGTTTATTGACAACGAATAAATTTCTTTCATTTTCGGAAGCTTCAAAAAATTTATCCTCGGTTTATAAAGCAACCGATGGTGCTGGTGGTGGTGGTGGTAATTCGAGACAAAATGATTCAATTACAGCATCGGCATTTGATTGTGAAATCAGTTCAGATTTTCAACAAATATTCAAACATATGGCCAAAAAAGATGTTAATACAAAAATAAAAGCATTGGAAGAATTTGTTGAATTATGTCGTCAAAAAAACCAAAACGAATTGTTAAGTATTGCACGTTTTTGGTTTCGTTTATATCGAAAATTGGCCAATTCATTAGAATGGAACATACGTAATGCCAGTCATGAAACACAATATCGATTCATTTCATCAATCGATAAGAATTTAATTCAGGAATATTTNATCGGTGTATTATAAACCGATTGAGATGTAGCAACCGATTTATAGCTACAAGGACTTTGAAAAAAGCTCACATGATTATCTTCAATGCTATTGTTCAACAAAGCCGATGTAGGACCTGAAAATAAAAATTGATTTAAAATTTTTTAAAAAAATAAAGTTAATTAACTTACTTGAACTAGATGCATCCTGTGAAAGAATTTGTAGCCAAAAATCTGATGATATCGATAATAATATCATCATAGTTTTTTCCTGTATCGATGTTGGAAATAAAGGATGAAAAATTTTTGGAGCAAAAATTCTGGCCAATTTTTCCAATGACATATTATTATAATGTTGATTTTTAGCCACTTTACGTAAATGTACCAATAAAAATGCCAATGTATCACGATTACAGGATGGAAGTTGACAAATAATCCAATCGATTATTTTAAAATTATCATCGGAATGATTTGACAATAAATTGTATAGACCATCATACAAATATTCCGGTATCAAAGGATCACCAAGATCAATAAGATAGCCAAGAAAATAGATAACAATATTACATAATGAATCAATATCAATATGTGAAAATTGATTATTATAACCATTTTTTGGATACAATAAATCCAACATTAAATTCTGTATGATTGAAGAATTTGGCTGTTGTATATGACCATAAATATTATTCAATCGTAGGCCACGTTTTTCAATTTCTGAACAACATTTCAATAACAATGTTGGAACCAATGGTTCAACATGAGATGATGATGTTGATGATGATGATTCAATAGGTGATGATTGTACAAAATCCATTATTGTTCGAAAATTTCGTTTCGATGGATGATTATGAACAACACAATAATCATGTGCACGTTCATCACAACCATCACAGGTAACATATTTACTATAGAATCCAATACGATTATTACAAATAGCACAGATCAACAAACGATGTGATGTTGAACGATCCGATTTCCAATGATGTTCATGATGGCCATTAATGGCTGAAATTTTTGCTAAATAATTTTTTTGTTCACAATCAGGTGGTGAAGGATGCAAAAGATAAGCAAAACGACGAAGTGAATAGCCATTATTAATTTCATCGTTGGAATCGATTTTCATCAATTTTATATTATCATTTAGATGCAATTTTCTATCCATTGTTTTGATAATATCACCATTATTATTATCACAATGATTATTCAATGGTTCATCTACTTCACTAACATCGATTGTTAAATCCGAAGAATTTGAACTTGATGGTGCAGTAAAATTTTTTTCCACAACGGTTTTGGTCATAATTTCAATTTGTTCATTATGTTTTTTCTGTTCTGCCTTTTCTTCTTCTTCGGCAATTGTTTTCAAATGAATTCGTTTATTGTGTTTATTTTCGCCATTTTCATTGATTCGATGATCATCATCAAAATTGACACGTCGTAAATGATTTAAATGCAATCGGAATTTTTCATTTTCTTCATCCTCTAAATCGAATCTTGATTTCATAATCACATTGTTTTTATCCATAGGCAAATCAGTAGAATTTACAACATTGGCAAATTGTTTAACTTTTGAACGAAGATCGATCAATTCTTTGTTTACTTTGTCATAATCGTTTGATTTTTCCAAAAATTTATCCTTAAAATATTGTAAATCTTTTTCCAAACGAATATTTTCTTCAGTCAATTGGTCAATTTGTTGACGAGCTTTTTTCAATTCTTTTGCCGTTTTTGACCAACGTGATTTAAATTGATCACAAATTTTCAATAATTTAGCCAAATCATTATGTAATGCTGAATAATGAAATCAAAAAAAAAAAAAAAAATTGATAAATCAAAATCATGAATCAATTTAGAAAAACTACAAACTTACATCTATCATATGTACTAATATAATTTTGATAACGACACATATCATCAAAATATGCCATCAATGAAAGTTTTACCATTTTTGATGATGATGATGATTCTTGCTCCTGATCAAACGAATGATGATGATTACTATTATTATCAACCAAAGTCATGATCATCAAATTTTGTTTTCAAGACGAAAAAAAAAATAATAAAAAATTTCAACAAAAAAAAAATTGACAACCAAATGAATAATGATGATGATAACAAAACACACACACAACTCACAATCGATATTAAAAAAAAATTCGACATCGAACTGCGCGCTATTTCGCGTTCGATTTTGTCACGTTCGATTTTTTTTTTGACAAGCGTGCAACAGGTAAAAGTGTCGCCATCTGTGAGCATTCGAAGTTTCTTTTGAAACTTTTTGTTCGAATTGAAATTAAAATTTTGTTAAAAATTTTTTTTTTTCAAAAATCAAAAAATCAATCAATTTTTAATGATAAAATTGGATTAAAATGTGTACCAAATGAAAAACAATTACCACCACCACCAATTGTCCATAAATAATTGCTGTTTTCGCTTGTTTTGATTAATTCACAGCTAAAATTGTGCAACATTAATAGCTGATTATTATCGATGATATCAATGTGTTTGGTCGAATAGATTTTCATTGAACGAAAATCAATTTGATTAATTTGATTGGAAATTTTTCGATTACCAATACCACCGATCATCAATATTCTATGATCATCATCATCATTGGCCATAATTTTCATCTGATGTGAATAGAATTTTTCATCTAAATTTTTTATTAAAAATTTTTCAACATTAGCCTGTCGACTATCGATAAGTTCGATATAATTTTCATTACTTGAAGGTAAAAAATTATTATTATCACAATCAATACCACCATTTAATAATATTGAATGATTTTGAAATGTAGTGTATGCCATTGAATGACGATTAGTTTCAAGACCATTGATTTTTGTTTGAAACCATTTTGATGATTTTGAATCAAAAATCCATATCGTTGATTTATCATTACTGGATTGATCATTACAACGACCACCAAATTGACAAATTTGTTGATTTTGGCGACCAAATTGGGCACAAACATGACGATTTGTATGAATAATATTATCAAATGTTTCAATACATTCAAATTGTTTCGAATCATTATTGATTGCTAAAATTGAATTACCTAATGATAGATTTGGTGATCGACGTCCACCGGACAGCAGATAATGTTTACCATCCCCTAATGAAACAATACGACAATGTAATCGATTAATATTTGATGATTCATTTGATTCAATCATCTGTATATTATTAATCTGTTGTTTTGAATCATCCAATGATAATTGCACGATACTTTTAAATCTACAATGTTTTCCACGATTTTTTCCCAATTTTTGATTTGATTCAATACCAAATCCACCAAATATATTTATTGTATTATTATGATCATCATAATGACTACAATGACCAAATATTTGTAATAATGGAAATGCGTTGGCCAAAAATCTATCATCCTTCTCCGGTCGATTTACTATGATCATCGAATCGTTTGATTCATTCGTGGTTACTGTCGATGATGAAGGTTTGAATTTTTTACAAATCACCAGACAATATACCTGACAAACATTTTCCAATTCTTCCCATTCATCAAACATTTCAATTTGATTGATTCGTTTACGTTCGTCATTCGATAATAATTCACGATAAAATTTTTTCATATTTATCAAATTGATTTGTTCGAAATTCAACTTACGAAAACGTTCCCATATTTGATTTTCATTGATAAATGTTTGTATTGGTGCATTTAATTGTTCAAAATGATTTAACATGAATTTTTTAAAATCATTTTCACTTCCGAATGAATCATACATTTCATATCCAAGATATTGTATGGAATAATTATCATAATTGGAATATTGTTCGGTGATAAAATCAATCATCTTGGCTATCAGCTGATCAGTAAATTGTTGTTCAATATAACATAATGAACATTCATTGAATAATATAAAATTTAATCGTCGGTTTTGTGCAACTTTATCGATCATTTTATTCAACAAATGATTTTCATTCACGAATAAAATGTTTATCACTTGCGTAGGTGATTGACGTAAATCAATACCGAATAATAGATATCTAGATGATTGTAGATATAAATGTTCGTTGGAAGAGCAATTCTCCACTGTTTTCATATCGGGAAATTCATCAATATTCAATCGAATAATATCAGCTTTTCGTCGGCAAACATCTGGATGATCAATTTCAATGAAAATATTTCGGTCATCTTGATAACGAAATGCAGTTGTATCAAAACCAGCACCAAACGATATAATTATATTGATTTGTTCATCACCATTAGATAATACTTTTTGCCATCCATATTCCAATGCTTTAAAACGAACATAATAACCATGATGAATAATTGGTGCACGTTGTTGATTTTTCGAATCATCATCATTCGAATTGATAAAATATTTCAAATATGGATCCAAACAATAACCTTTATTGATCATTGAATATTTGGATAATGTACTAAAATCATTTGTACCGGTTATTGATTTTTTATTATCAATAATTTTTGAATGTTTTTTAGTCATTTTTTGAAACTTTTGTTTGAAAATTGGTCACATGGCTGATATTCAAAAACAACAACAAAATCAACTTTCAACGTATAAATTTTGTTAAATAATTTTTTATTTAAAATTTTCAAAATTTGCCCAAAAAAAAATGGAAAATAAATCTTTGATTTTTTTTTCATTTTCAAACCCATGGTTGTTCTTTATTTGTTTGTAAATAATATAATGTACTAGCATGTAATGGTGGTAATTTCCATTGATCAGCATAATAACCCATTTCGGCTAAATATTTGGTTGGTTCATTTTCATCAACTGGATCATCAAAATCCGGTGTAGAAATTAACACTTGTTTCGTTAGAAATTTATTCGGATTTGTAATTGACCATTCAAATAATTCTAATGAACGTAAATGACTACCAGCAACAGTAAATGCACCAGCACCAGGTTGATGATAACCATAATTTGGATAAAAATCTAATGTACCAATCGGTACAAGACTACCATAATGATTAACGGGAAAAAACCATTCAGATGGATCTAATTTTGAATCATAACCATCCGTATGTATAACATCAACCAATCTTGCATCCGATGCACGAAGTGTTTGTGAATTTTCAACTTTTTCAAAACATGGTCCAGCTGGATCCAAACCTTTTTTAAAAAAAAAATTTTCAAGTGAAAAAACAAAACAAGAAAAAAATTTACCTGAAATTCGATCAAAACCATGTGATAAACGACCAGCAATACCCATAACATGTGCACCTAAACTATGACCAATACCATAGATTGTTGTATTTGGTTGAATTTGTTTTATCGTTACAATATATTTAGATAACCATTGACCAACAGTTAATACATTTGATGCTGCTTGTCTATAACGAAAAACAAGTATATCAGCACCACCACCCCAACCCAAAATAGCAACTGTTTGTTGTAATTTAAATTGTTCACTAATATTGAATATTTTTTCTTTATAATTATGTAACCAATCAGTATTGAAATTATTATGAAAACCATGTGTTATCAATATCAGTCGGTTGGTTTGTAAGAAACCTAATTTATTTAATTGTTGTGCTGTTTGTTTTGGATCAGCGAAATGATCAACTTCAAATTCTGGTTGACCACGTTTATAGAATACAATTTTTGGTTTTATTGTTTCAATATTCCATGGATCAGGCATTTTTAAATGTAATAATGCACTTATATTCAATGATGGATTTGTTGTTGTTGACATTTCTGACGTTGTTGTGTTTTGATCACCAAATTTAAATTTTTGTAAAGAATCTTTATAAAATTCAGTTAGATTCGAATCCAATTGATTGATTGTTTGACGAATAATTTCTCCTATTGATGATGATGATGATGATGATGATGATGAGGGTAATGTCAATGATTGTTGTTGTTGTTGTTGTTGATTATTGGCCAATGCCAATCCTATAAAACAAATAAAAAATCTAAAATCAATCATTTTTTTTCGCTTCAAAATTTGATCATTCAAAAAAAATAAATAAATACGATATAGTGAATGTGGTAAATCAATGAAAATCACAGAGTTAAGATTGATGATGATGTTTATTTTCTTTCAATGAAACTTTTATTTTTTTCGGACGAAAAGTGGCGTCATAATCATTATCACACACACACATGGATGTGGATTAGATCGATCGAATGTTTGTGTTGTTTATAATGATGAGCAATGAAGAAGAGAAAAAAACGTAGTTTTCTCTTTTATCATTGAGAAATGTTTATTTTCTTTACTTTTTTTCGAAGTTAATGAAAATCAATTGATTTTGATCGATTTTTTTTTCTGTTTGTTTATTTGGACAATCAATATATATCGATGACGTTTTCAAAAAACAAAGACAAAAACAAATATCGTTTACAAATGATTAGATAAGTCTTTTTAATGATTTTTTTGTTTTAATCATAAAAAAAATTTTGATTCAATTTTGATTTGATGATGATCATATGATGATAAACAAACAATAAATAATTTCATTTATGACGTTTATATTATTGTTTGTTTATTGTTATTTGAAAAACAAGAAACAATGTGATGCAAGAAACCAAAAAAAAACAAAAAAAAAATTTTAACCGGAACTTTTTTGGTTTTGGCAATGAAAAAAATTGAATCGGAAAATTAATGTTTTCAAAAAAGAATTTTTCGGAAAACGATATATCGATAGTGATGATATTCGATTGTATCGATTTCAGACAGACGAACAATCGATTTTCGATTTGGCTGCCTCACACAATATTTACATTATTTTTTTCAATTTGTCAAATTTTTTTGAAGTGAAAAAACATTAAATAAATAAATATGAATCGTCAAATACGAAGAAGATAATCATGGAAAATATTCAGCATCAACAAGATGATGAATCGAATCAACATTTGGAAAATCATAACAATACGATTCGAATACCATATGGTTGGAAACGAAAATTATTATCATCATCACGATATGATAAAATTTATTACATAACACCAAGTGGTCATGTATTATTATCAAATTCAGATGTTTATGGTTATTTGGCCGATCCAAATACATGTAAATGTTCATTAAATCCATCATTAACATTTGATGAAGTATTTAATTTTGATTCGAAAATAAAATTAAACATTCGAATTGATGATTATAAAACATTATCACCATGTGAACAATGGTTTCAATCATTCGATGATATCAATGAATTTCGTTCCCTGTTACTTGATGTTAATCTACATTTATTTTGTCAATATGAATGTGATTTATATGAAATTTATAAAATCTATCAACATTGTAATGATCAATCATCATTGACAAACGATGATGATGATGATGATAAATCAATATTCAATGAATGGTATTCATCATTTGATTGGAGTCAGGTAATGATGACCAAAAATGGTTGGCTATTAACCAAACCGCTACGTGATTCGAATCTAAAACATTTGGCATTTGAAATGAAAAATTCCGGTATCATAACTGGTGATGGTCAACATTGGTCGAAAAATGATAATAATAATGATGATGACAACGATTCAGATCGAATATCAATTCCAATTGATATTGTTGAAGCTTCCACACAAATTTCACAAGAAATTGAACGATTAGAATCGGAAATTATCAATGAAGATCTCAATTATTTTCGTGATATTAATATTGGACATCTACCAACAACAACAAATCAAATGTCGAAGATTGTTGATAATCATATTGTAAAATATTTAAACAATATCATTCAATCAGCTCAATCATTTCGAATTGTTGAAAATTTTCATTCTATAATATTTGAATATGGTGATCCAATAATCAAAATGATTATACCGATAGCAATGTTAAATTTAGCTATGAATAAATCATCATTGGATTGGCAGGTTATAACATTGGATTGGTTGAAGGAAAATTTTCCCTTATGTTTAACCGATGATAATCGACAGAATATTGTTGATAATGATAATTATATTGGTCCATTTGATCATATCGATCCATTTACAATGCTCAATCGAATCAATGATGATGATGATCAATCGATAGAGAATGAAGAATCTTTAAGAAATGATTTACAAAAATCTGAATCTTGCGTTGATAATTTTGATAATGAAATATGTTATTCATTAATATCGTCGACAGCAAAACCATCACCATCATCATCATCATCGATAACAAAATTATCAACAATCGATATTGATAGTAGTTGTTCAAGTATACCGATTGAAGTTATCGAAGATTTAGATGATAATTTAGGACATCATGGACANAATGAAGAAATAAATTTTGAAATTCGTTTAGAAAATTTAGATGATAATGCTTGTTATCAAATGACAATGAATATTCCAAAAAATCTATTGGAAATTGATGATGGTGATGGTGATCAAAATGAAATTGATTGGAGCAATGATGAACAACAACAGGCAGAAGAAATCGGATTGGATCCAGTTGGGCAAGTAGAATTAATTTCCAATATTATGATTGAAAAGAATGATTTCCACTTGAATGAACCAGTACCAATACCAGAAGAACCAAAACAACAACAAGAAATAATTTTTAATCCTAATGAACAGTCAGACGAAAACCAATACAACAACAACAACATTGAAGAAGAACAAATCATCGACGATGATGATTCTTTAATCATAAAAGAAATTATTGAAAATTCAATCAAACAAAGTTCAGAAGTTATTGATGAGTTAATCGATGATGATGACGATGATGATTATGATGATTATGATGATGATGAAAGTTTAAAATTGATAAATGATGCTAATGAAATTTTTAAAATGTTACCATCATCATCGTCGTCGTCGTTGAATGAGATAAAATCAAAAGAAAAATATTATCAACGTTTACAACGATTAAAAAGACAATTAGAAATTCAAGGTATGCCCGGTATGTCATTATCATTGGATGAAAAAGTTCGTCTTTCACCACCATTACCACCACAAGAACGTATATTTAATATTGGTGATCTAGTTTGGGGTCCATTTGGTGATGTACGTTTTTGGCCAGGTAAATTAATGTCATCAAATGCTGATG